TTTATTTTTTTGGTTCTTTTCAGTCTTTTATCGCAGGTTCGGAACCGGAGCTGTATTTATTGGAGCGGTTCTGGTTCTGAGTGGATGAAAACCAGCAGAATGTGTTTCGGAACCGCCGCGGAGAGTAACTAGACCGAACTTCATTTTATCCGCAGTCAGTGATTAAAGAAGAATTTATAAATAATTCAATAATTCAGGACTAAAGAAAAACTAAAGTAAAATCAAACTAAATGAAAAATGATTTTCTGTTTTTATTTCTAGAATTGATCTCTGATCTGTTTCGAACCGAACCTTGCAGAGTTCGCTCTCTGGCCCAAACCGATATATAAAACATTTAATTCTCAGAATTTATTCTCTAATTTTGAAATAAATTTTGATTGATTTATATTTTGTTTTAATAACATGTTTTCCGGTTCGGTTTTTCGCGGTCGGTTCGGGTTCTGTTCACGCGCTCTGAGCGGTTCTGGTTCTGACTCATTTTGGTTTTAATTTTTATCCTGATTGTAGCTTCATTCTCTGTCCTCAGAACCGAACCGAACCGAATCCAACCGAACGAAAGTTTTTCAGTTCAGCCGGAAGCGGCTCCGATTTTGACTCGGTTCTGATTCGAACCCAAAACATTCTGTTCTTATGGGTTTTATCAGAACATTTGGATCCGACCAAGAATGAATCATCTTGGAGACACGTTACTATTTATGACTTTCATAATTAATTTCCTTCAGAGCGAAGATTCATTTATTATTATTATTATTATTATTATTATTATTATTATTATTATTATTATTATTATTATTATTATTATTAATTAAATAAACAATTATTTAATAATAAAAATAAAAAATAAAATGACGTCTGTAAATTTCCATTTAAATTTCTTTAAAACTGTTAAAACTGTTTATTTCTTTGACTGGGTTAAATAATAATAATAATAATAATAATAATAATAATAATAATAATAATAATAATAATAATAATAATAATAATAATAATATCTCTTAAAGCGTTTTAGAAATATTCCTTTCAGTTCAATCAAACATTCATTCATATTTTTCCCAGCTATTAATCAGTTCTGGACCAGCTTTAGGTCGGTTCTGGGCCGGTTCTGGACCGGCTTTTGGGTCGGTACCTGCGGTAGTTTGGGGTCGTTGATGTCCCAGGTCAGCTTCATCCCGACCGAACACACGCAGTCCGTCTCGTCGCGCTGCTCCGCCCGGGACATGCTGCCGGTACCGGTACCGGCTCTGCTGCTGCCTCTGGGTTAAGTTCTCCTCCTGGTCCCGGTTCTGGTTCTGGTCCCGGCTGTAAGTTAACCCTCTGAGAACCGAACTGAAGAGAGATGAAGAAAGAAGCGGCTCGTGCGGAGGCGCAGGTAGAACTGAGAACAGGTGAGAGCGGAGCTGCAGAGGGAGGAGGGAGAGGGCGGGTCAGAACCAGAACCTCTTCAGGACTTTAAGCAGAACCTCACCTGGTCAGTGGCACAGCGACTGGGTCCGACCCGGTTCGGCCGGAGTTCTACCTGCTGGCTCTGCAGGTGAGTGTGGAGGTTCAGGTGAGGGTTTGTTGTGTAAACTCGTGACTGTTTTTACCAAAACAAACAAACTCATTAGTCAACAATTACAGAACCAGAACCGGAGAAGCTGGTCCATCTGCGGGTCCCGCCTGGTTCCGAACTCATGGACTCGGTTCTGTCCGGTACTGACTGATGGTTCTGTTGCTTCTATTCTGGTTCTGGGATTGAACCGGTTCGGATGGCAGAACCGTTTCTAGAGCGCAGCACAAACTGGAGACCGAACCGGTTCAGGTCCGAACCGCAGCAGTTATGAAAGCTGTTCATTAATAAAGAATCAAATCTGTGGATGTTTTAATAGAACAGAAGTTTTGATCCTTTTAGTTTTTAATGACGTAACAGTAATTACGTCATACTAATTAATGTTGGCTGATTGTGAAGATGTTTACTCCTCTTCATCAGGTTCTGCAAGCTGATTGGTCAGGAGCTCAGCTCTGTCCAGCTGTTGACCAATCACAGGCCTCAGCAAGACTTTATGGTGATATATTTTTACTATTATTATTATTATTATTAATAATAATAATAATAATAATAATAATATAGTTTAGCTCAGGGAGTAAAGAACCGCCTGAAACTGTTTTAAATGTTTGACTCAAATTTGAATCATATTTATCTGTAATAATAAAATATTTCTCTGTTTCCTGGATGTTATGAGAGTCATCAGGCCTTCATGTGAATATGAACGAATATTCTCTGATATTAATTAATATTAATGAATGTTAATTGATATTTATTGATATTAATGATTAATCAATGTCAGGGTGAAAATAACTTGTTACTTTTACTACAGTTTGTACTTTCTCACTTTTTTAAAATCAAATCTGAACTTTTTGTTTTGATTAAAGAATTTTATTTATTTACATATGAAATAATATCTGATAAAAAATACAAACTGAGAACCGAAGGAACAGTGAGGAAGACTACTGAGGAAGACTCACATCTGCATCAAACTCAGTTATGAAATATTCTGGATAATATTTAACAAATTTGATCTGCCTGTGATCATAACGAGTTCTGAGAGGAGGCGGGCATGATGAAGATGATGAAGATGATGAAGATGATGAAGATGAGACCTGCCGGATCTGAACCAGAAGGTTTCAGTTAAAATATGACAAATATTCATCCCAGATGTTTTATTTATTAAATAGTTTCTTTATTTAGTTTCACAGAAAAATGTCAAATAAACGTCATGAGGACATTTTTTTACTTTTATCAAAGGAAATCTTAAAGTCGCAGCTTTATTAGAATTTAAATCAAACTTAGTTGAAATAATCCTACTTTTACTTCTCTACATTATTTTTTTTACTAAATATGAAAGAATATTCACTAAACAGGTGGGGGAGGGGCACATGTTATCCTGTCCTGATTGATTATCACTTATTGATCATAGAACTCTGGCCAGTTTACTCAGCTGTCCAGATATTCCTCCGCTTGGCCTGAACTACTTTGTCTCCTGCGCTGCGCGGCCCCGAGGCTGATGAGTTCATTATGTGCAGCTGTGTGCGCGCTCCCGACACCCTGAGTGAACGGAGAGGAGACAGATGCGCGCGATGGTGAGCCAGCAGTTTTCTTTTATTGATTTTTGCGCTCATTGATAATTGAAGATGATGATGGTGATGAAAATGATGAAGAAGAGCGGAAAAGATCCGCAAACATAGAGCCGACGGTGCAGGGAACGTTCTCTGAAGCTTCATGAACGTTCCTAGAACCTCCAGCATGAGACACGGAAGGATCCGGACAAATGTCTCCTGTTCCTTGTTCCGCCCCATTCATGGATTCATGGATTCATGGATTCATGGATCTGTCTGCTAGGCCCGTTCTGACCTTCCTGGATCAGTTGTCGTTACTCAGCTCTCTCGCGCCCCCTGCCGTCTCCAGCCCGACATCACAGCTGAACTCGCTGTGACGTTGCTGTGGGAACGCCACCAGGTTCCCCGGTTCGGTTCTTCAAAATTTACATCTTTTGTGGCATCAGAGAATCGGAACCTATAAGGAACGAACATCCAGAATCTGATCAATAACTGGTGGATCAGAAAAGTCTGGTCAACAGTAGATTTCAGTGAAACTACAGCAGAGCTGCTGCTGTTTGGTCAGACGGCGCCCCCTGCTGGCGTCAGTAGATCCGTGCTTTACATGTTTGTGTTTTTATGTCCTGATATTCAGGCTTTGGGTTTTCTGTGTGAAATCAACTCTGAATGAGTTAATCTAGTCTGTTCAGGATTAAACCAGATTAAGCCTCTGAGTCTAAATGAATGAATCTGGATTAAATCTGAATTTAATTATTCAGATTAAATCTGAATAATCTGTTTCTGTCCCAGTTTGAGCTTCAGGTGGACGACTGTCTGCTTCGTGGAGACTCGTCCCGACTCGTTTCTCTGCTTCACTATGAAGGACTGACCAGCTCCACCCTCACCAGGCTGCACCTCCTGGTTACCAAGGTAACGGCAGACTCTCTGGGAGGAGTAACTGCAGGGAGCGGGGCCTGCGCAAACCTGCCAACTCCATATGCTCCAAAATTTGACAGTGATGGGGTGGGGCCATGTTGGGGGAGGGTCCTGCGGCAGTGTTGGGTCGTTTCTGCATCAGGTCAACTCATCAACAAAGAGTCCATCCTCTGTTTGTGCCGAACCTTCAGTCCGGTCCAGAGTTCTGTTCAGAGAACTCATCCACACCGGTCTTTCCCAGATCATTCTGAAGCTCTGGGAGTTTTGTCCTATAATGACCTCCTCCTCAACCATCCCAGGACTGTGAGCTTTGGAGTCTGAGGAACTGATCCTGGTCTCATAACAGTGGTTCTGGAAAGGCCTGCAGCAGTGTTTCTCAGGTCCAGTCCTCTGGCCTCCTGCCCTGCATGTTTTAGGTGTTTCCCTTCTGCCACACCTGGATTGAATCTGTGGTGGTTAACAGCCTGCAGGACTTGATGGCTGCAGACGAGGTTATGCAATCATTTGATTGCTGTTCTGGAATAGAGGCTCATCTAAAACATGCAGAGCAGGACTGAGGACTGGAACTGAGAAGCTCTGGCCTGCAGGGAGCCAGGTGGCGCTACGTAAAGCAACATAGAGCTAGGTGGCACCTTGGTTAGCTTCAGGGACCAGCGATGGGCTGTGTTGCTGCTCAGCGATGCTGATTGTGTTTCAGGAGCTGCGCAGCAGCGCGTTCTGCAGGGTTCTGGTTGTGTTGAAATCTGTATCGATTCTGTCGGAGAACAAGGAAGACCTGGAGACTCTGGTCAACCTCGGCCTGGCTGCTAAGGTAATGATCAGTGATTTGATTGGTCGGTCGTCTTCTGTGCTGCTCTCACCTTTCTGTTGTTGCTCAGGTGATGTCATGGTTCGAAGCTGTTCACGACCTGCTGACCTCCGATCTCCAGGAAGGCTCCACGACCCTGATGGCCCTCATAGAGGAGTTCTTTGACTACTTCCTGGTGAGCAGCATGCTGGGAAGTGATGTTTGGAGTTGTTGGAGCTGTCATGTTGGTCTCAGGTGAGCTCAGTGTCAGTTTTTGCTACTCACCTTTCACAGCTGAAGCGTAATCTGCTCAGCTGTCCTGGATCACCTGATAGACAGGCATCATCAGGTCTCTAACTGTTCATAATGCTGTGGCCCATGAGAACTCATTGGTCCAGCTGACCCAGGAGATATCTACCTGCAAATAGGCCTTGTGATACAGAGAGGAAGATATTTGTATCGGTTTCAGTAGCCGCATCCCTTCTAAATCCCTCCTGAATCTCCCATGAGTTCCCCTCAACGCCTCCTGGCAGCAGGTCTCAACTGAACATCTGGACTGAGTTCCAGCGTTCACCGATTCCAGAACTCCTCCCTGCATCCAGTGCATCTCTGACCAGTGAGACCACCGCTGAAGGAGAACCAGCGGTGGTCTCACTGGTCTGGAACTACCGCCGAGTTTTACCTCAGGAACATACCTGCTCATCCAGGACAGAGAGGATTTAAAACCAGTTCATCATCATCAAACAGCTGAAACCTTTTTATGCAGATAAATTATTTTATTTCCTGATTGTAGCAACAATCATTCAATGGTTACATGATGATCAATAGCATGAGGGTGGGGGTTCAGAATACTTCCTGTGTTGGTCCATTGGTTCACTCTGTCACATTTATGCACCCAACACACCAGCTAAATTCCACGATCCCTCCAAACTCACATTGGACCCTGTCAGATTTTCAGCCCTTCAACTGCTTCATGTGGACCTGAGGCAGGTGGTTCTGATGGGGAACCGACTGGGTTGAATCATTGGCTTTTAGAACACAAAGCAAAAGTTTTATATAACAGATTAAATTGTTCCGGTTTTAAAACCTTTGGGTTGATCAGTACTCAAAGTAACGTTCTGGTCTTATTGGTCTGCATAAACCAAACTCCTACTTTATTGATCCTCTCGGAGGATCCATGAAGATTCTCTCAGACTTTAGTCAAATTGAATAAAAATGCCATGTCATAAAAAAGAAGTCCACCTTGAGTTGAACTAGGTCCAAAGTTTCAAATACCTTTAAGATACCCAACACTGTCTGGTTCTGTGGGTTAAATAAACTTGTTGGGCACTGCCTACAGGAGCAGAAGTAACTCAGCAGATCCAGACCCAACACAGATTCCAGCATGTAGCGGTTGGGTGAAAGCAGCCTGGACTCGGTGCAGGAGGGTCATGGTTGAGGAGATGCTGTAGAAGGACAGAACTCCTGCTTCATGATCCAGATACACGCCTATCCTAGAACATGGAGGTCCTGGGAGGTCAAGGCTTCTACCATCGTGGATATATTTATTATTGTGACAATATAAGGCCCACGACATCTCATTATCTCCAAATCCACTGGTTCCTCCTGCTCTAACGATGTGTTTGTATGCCACTGCCACAGAGACGATCCCACTCCACTCCACCTCCCAGTAACAGCGTCCAGTCAGACCTTCTCTGCTCAGAACCTGAAACCGGTCTGTGAATCTCTCCGGATGATTCGGGTACGACTGCTTTTTCTTTCCTCGTGTCACTCTCATGTTCTGTCCAGACAGAACCAACATTTTATTAGCTGTGTTGGGATCCAAGATGAGCCGACATGCATACGGTAAAGACTCTGTTCTTGTCTTGGGCTCTCCTGGTGTGTGATTCGGTGCTGCTGGTGGTAAAACCTTGAACTGGTCTAGTGATGGGTAACCTAGTGGTGGTGTAAATGTGTTCTCGCCCTTTGTCAGGTCTGATGACGGACCTTTAGATTGATCTGGTGTTGGGTACGTTGGTGAGGAAACCTTGGAGTGATTCTGTGGGGAACCTCTTGGTGGAGACACCTTGGACTCGGTCAGTGCAGGGACAGCTGCTGCTTGTGAAGTCTTGGACTCACTTGATATGTAAATTGGTGCTGATGGTGCAATACTTGACTCTCTTGATGTTGGGTAAACTGCTGGAGATAAAACTGTGGACTTATCTAACTTTGGATACATTGGTGATGAAACCTTGGGGCCCTTCTGCAGGTAACCTCCTAGTGTTGGGTATGTTGGTTTTAACATCTTGGGATCCCTAGAAGATGTGTGAAATTGTGCCGTTGGTATAATGTTGGAATAAGCTGAAGGTATGATGACCTTATCAAATGATTTCGGGCGTCTTGGTGGTATTGGTGCAGTCTTGGACTTGGCGAGGGGTGGAGGAGCTGCTGGTGCTGAATCCTTGGGCCTCTCTGGTTTTGGGTGAATTTCTGGTGGTAACTCCAAGGAACCGACTTTGGAGAGTATGGCTTGTGGTGATGGTGGGATCCCATGGTGAGCCGGTGTCTGTGGAAGGTCTGCTGTAGTCATGGTGATCCTGGTCCATTCCTGCCTCAGGGTGTCCTGCAGTTTCTGAATTAGCTCAGTGATGGGATATGTTATCTGATTAAAGTAGTTTGGCGATTGAATATTGATGTCTGAGTTTGTAGATGGGCCCAGTGATATCAGAGAGGGGTATCTTCGTAGGAATTGGACGTGGTCCTCGGTGTGTGACAGCTTCTCCAGCTCATGATCTCTCCTGGTCAGCTCTGAGATTTCCTGCTGGACTCTCTGCTGAAGCTCTTCAACCTGCCTCATTTCGGCTTCCTGCTGGGATCCGATCAGCTGTTGGACGTCGCAGCTTCTCTGGGCCAGGAGCTGCAGCAACTGTTTGAACATTGCCTGGATGTTCTCCACCGTGTCGCTGGCAGAGTTGGTGATGGCGTCGCCCTCCTTCTGAAGCAGCTTCAGGGCCTCCTCTCGGTCCTGGACTCTCTGCCAAATGTCCTGCCGTCTCGGTCCGAGCTCTTGCTGCCACTCGGTCCTCTCTGCTGCAGCGGAGACGGTGTCATGACCTTTGCGCTTCTCCATAGAGCACAGGAAGCAGATGGTCTGCTGGTCGCTGCGGCAGAAGATCTCCTTCATTTTATTGTGCAGGGAGCAGATGTTCTCCTGGATGTCTGCAGAGGCTGTAACCAGCTTATGGGTCTTAAAAGCTGGAGAGTCGTAATGAGGCTGGAGATGGAGGTCACAGTAGGAGGCCAGACACTGCAGGCAGGACTTGGTGGCTTTCATCTTCCTCCCAGTACAGAAGTCACAGCTCACATCTCCAGGTCCAACATACCGATGAAGATGAGGAGCATCTTGGAGCGTGACCTTCTTTATTTCCTCCACCAGCTCTGCTAACATGGTGTTCTTTCCCACAACTGGCCTGGGTATGAAGACCTCCCTGCACTGGGGGCAGCTGTAGATCGCCTTCTGGTCCTGCCCTTTCCAGTGGTTTTTGATGCACTCGGAGCAGTAGTTGTGTCCACAGGGAATGGTCACTGGATCCTTTAGTAAATCCAGACAGATGGCACACCTCAACATGTCTTCGTCCAGTGAAATCCCCCACTGAGCCATTCTTCCTCCTTCACTCTGAAGAAGTCGGAGCTGCTCTGTGCAGGCAGCCGGATGCTCCCTGAATAGCATGTCGACTCAATTGTGTCAGTGAACACCGGAGTGGCAGGGCGGAGCTAGCTGGTCCGACTGCATTCCATGTAGAGGACTGACCTGAGACCAGAACTGGACTGGTCTCAGGTCTGATTCTGCTCACGTCTTCAATCCAGTTCAGTCAGGCAGTAATGGAAGTAAACATTTACTCTTCTTATAAGCAGAAAACAATAAAGTGGAGCCAGAAACATGGAGAGTGAACCTCAGAACTCTGAAGCAGCTGCACTGAGATGATTTCACTCTGAACAGGTTGAGCTTCATTCCAGGAGGATGACGGCTGTTGGTTCAGGCTCCAGCAATCTAAAATCACCTGAGAACCTGCAGGAACAAGATGGAACCAAATGGGTTGGGTCGGTCTCACTTCACATCTTACTTCCATAAACCAATCCAAACCAGAACCAATGGGTTTCTATCAGAACTGTTTCCAGACTCTCAGATTCCCAGACTCTCCACCGGGCCAGTGCCACCTGTTGGTGTGGCCTCTGCAGCAGCACTGTGGGTCTCCGGGTCATGGTGGTGACCCAGTCTGATGACAGGTCCAGCATATGAGGACATGATGGGGCCTGGTGTCCAGTAAACACATGGTTGATGAGTTCCCATTGATTTCCCATAAACTGTTCCCTCAGTCATGAAGGTAGAGATTAAACTCTGAGAGGTGGCCTCAGGATGATCCATCTTTAAACACATACACCTGCTAGCAAATAATAAAAACAAATCAAATTTTATTTGCATGGCACCTTTCAGCAACAAGGCAGTTCAAAGTGCTTTACATCATAAAATACAAAGTCAGAGAAACGCAGTCAGCGATTGAAACATCACATTTAACCGTCGTTTAAGATCAGATTGTTGATTGCTTCATTTATTATGTCTCAATAGCAACTTTAACCAGCTGGTGTTTAGTCTAGATCAGAGGTCATGTTAACGGAATATTTTCCGTATTTGACCGGTTATTTTTTTAAATGACAGGAACATTTAAAGCCCGTCGGTCATTTGACAGGTTCTAATTAACACCCTCATGCGAGGACATGATGGACTTTACACAAAGTTCATCGCAGAGGCAACAAAAATCAATCAATAAAACATCCTTCCTGAATATCATCTCATGGTCTCTGAACTAAATGCGTCTTTCTGACCGGGAGCTACAGCGTGTTGAAGAGTGATGGACCGGACGCTTTGGAGCGTCTGGTTAGGAAGCTCATTCAAAAACTTTGGTAGAAATGGCGCGTTTAATTTCAGTCTCCATGACATATAGAACAGAGAAAACTAAAGAGAATGCAATGTTGAATCCATTTAGAGTCTAAACAGAGGAGCCTGCAGTTTATCTTTAGGAAATAAATAAAGATGCAGAAGTTAATTAGATCGTAACATGCGCAGTGTGCTGCGGCTGCACAACCAATGCAGACGCGGCTCCACTGCTGCAAAGAATTAAACTGAACATCCTGTGGTTTTAACAAATGGAGCTGAAGACGTTCCCGTCCCGCACCCAGAAGGAGAGCGGCGCTCAGAAGCGCAGCAGAGTAAGATCTGTCTGTTTCGGGGAAGAGAAACCAGGCAAAAATAAAAAATAAAAATAATAAAAATCCTCTACGATTCACTGTTCAAATGGGTGAATATTTACTAAACTGCATAAAAATGCGGCTAAATAGCCGATGTTAATATGATAATTTGACGGGTAAATATAGAACATGACTGGTTTTTAAAAAATCCTGTCGGTCAAGATGACGGAGAACAAAAAAGTCTAGCGCGACCTCTGGTCTAGATTTAAATGCACTCAGTGTTTCGGCTGTTTTGCTGTTTTGCAGTTATGGGAAAGTTTATTCCACATTTGCAATGCATAGAAGCTGAATGCTAGTGTCACGCCCTCCGAGGCGGCGTCACGCCTCAGTCATGTTTAGCTAAGAATACTGTTGTTACCTAGGTTACGTTGTTTATTGGTTAATTAATATGAGGGATAAATCTGATCCTCTTTCCTTTCTGTGCAAAAGTTGAGTTTGCGTTGATTTCCACAAATATTAGCAGTATATATATATATATATATA